GCTGCTGCGTGGTGCTGACGCTGCGGCCGCGCGTCCGGCCACGGGGCCAACGGAGCTGCGTGGTCAAATGCAGCGCCAACCCCATCTTCAACGAGGACTTCTTCTTCGACGGGCTGGGCCCGCCAGACCTGGCCGCCCGCAGTCTGAGGGCCAAGGTGCTGGACAGGGGCGCAGGCTTCCGCAGAGACGTGCTGCTGGGGGAGTGTGAGACGCCCCTCACTGCCCTGCTGCCCCCCTTGGGTGGGGGGCTAGGTCCAGGGACCTCCCTGGCGCCTGCCCATCTCAGCCTGTAGACTGGGAGACTGTCTCTTCCTCAGAGAGGTCTTCGTTCTTTTCACCTGCCCAGCCTGTATTTATTTTTGCTAATAAAATGTCTGTTTTTAGCAGGGTCTCTCCCCTTGTCGGCACCCTACACTCAGATCTACAGCCTGCTCTCTTCCCTCAGTCTTGGCTATCCCAGGGATGGAAGAAGCTCATTCACGCTGAGTTGGAGCAGACCTCAAGTGGTGGTTTTCAAACTTGAGTGAGCATTAGAGTAATCAGACATCAGCAGTCCTGGGCTCCATCCCCAAGAGATGCTGAAGCTAGGTTAATAGGTCTGGGCTGGGTAGGGCCCTGTCCAAAAAGGCCTCCACCCCTTCAGGGGTCCCTCCCATCACTGCAGAAAAAGCTCTGTGACCGAAACCAACATTAGCCACCTTCCCCCCAGGGGGTTCCTTGGGGCTGCACAGGGGAAATCAGCAGTCCGCCGCTCACCTACCTCCTCCCCACTTGTACCCACATCTGTCCTGGGGAGAGATGCAATTTCTGTGCCTTGAGAGTGAGTCAGGAGATGTCAGCACACAGCGCTGAGTTAGGTGTCCTCTCTCTTGCCTATGCCTGTGCCACCCCGGGCGCGAAGGTGCAGCCAAGTGTCTGAGTAGCGCTTGAGGACTGAATGGAGGAGATAAAATGTCCCAGGGATTGAGATGGGGAGGGCGTCCTACCTGAGTGTGAGAGCTCTTCTCAAAGATGCCCAGAAAAAGCTACCCCAGTGAGTAGGGGGAGGGTGGGGAAGGAGATGGATAAATGTAGGTCAGATTGTGTTTACCTCCTACCTGAATGTCCCTGACGTCAGCAGTGACCTTCTTCTTCTTCTTCTTCTTCTCTCTCTCTCTCTTCACCTTCCCTGGAGTTGGTTCCTGTTGGCTCAGGCCAGGCTTAGAGGAAGGAAGGAGGGAGGGAGGGAGAGGAGGAGGAAGGCACTGGGCCAACCCAGCTTCTTTCCCCCTCCCCTTTGGGCCCTTTCTCAGTTTCCATGGTGCCTTGAGCCAGGGATGAGCCTGCTGGATCCCGATAAACCTCAGCATGTGTAATGTTAACACAACACACACGCACTTCTGTCAGATCGCTGGGATGCCTTCTCCCTCCCCTGATTAGGTGCCCCCACCAGCTGCCCCAGCCCAAGGCCAGGGAAACCTTGCTCCAGCTGTCCACCAGGTGGTAGTATTGACCAAACAATAATAAGGGCTAATATCACCCAGCAAGGAACTGTTCTACAACTGGTCAACTCATTTATACCTCCTAGCAACTCCCAGGAGGATTAAGTACTATTGTTAGCCAATGTGACCTTGGGCTTTACTCCTATAGTGAGGAGTAAAGCTAGGATTTGAACCCAGAGGGTCTGGTTCCAGAGTCTGGGCTCTTAACCCCCTCACTATACTATCTCTAAGAGTCAGCGGCCACCTCCCACCCAGGTCACTCTGAAAGGAGTCTCCTTCTTCCCTAGAATGACAGCGCTCCCATTCTTTCAGTCTGTGAAATCACCCATGGGTCTAGCTCTGTCCTTAATACTGTCCTTCTACTTCAGCCCCAAATCCCCCCATCACAGCCTTTGGTGAACAACTGGATTTGATGTCCATTTGAAAGTCCCTGGAAAGAAACGTAGAGGTCATTTAACTTTCATTCATGCATTCCTGCAACACAAGGTAGGGAGGCCCCATGGAGATGCCAGTGATCAAAACAGGCATAGGGATCAGACAAGTTAGAAAATGAATAAGTAAAATGCAAAAAAAAAAAAAAAAAAAAAGTTACTTGGTAAAACGTTATGGAGAAAAAGAAAGCGGCTTCCTAGGAAAGGGGAGTCAGATAAAGAGAAGGGAAGACTATAGGAATGGAAAGAGGGAGGGATGGGCCCAAACCACTTTTTTTAACCACCATACTTTGGACCAGGTGCTGCAGCTTATCTGTGTTATCCTAGTAATCATCACAACTGCCCCGTAAGGTAGGTATTGTCATTCCCATTTTACTGAGAGATAGATCAGAGAGGTTAAGTAAACTGGCCTGGGAATGGCCTGGCTGCAGGGAAGGTTTAGGACCCTGGCTCCCCCAGATCCCCCAACCCCAGCCTGCTGCTCAGAGGAGGCTGTGAGGTGGGGATTCAAAGAGCAACTCACTCAGGTCACAGCTGTGAGCTGCCCCCTGTGCTGGAGGCCAGCGTCCCTGGAGGAACTTCCTGGCTAGCTAAAGCCACAGAAACGTGCCCGGGACAAATAAGGTGCTAAGAACCGCCCCCCCCCGCCCCCCCGTGTGCACACTGCAGGGGGCCTCAAAGCCTGTTCACAGGACAGTTACTATCGTCCCCTTTTTACTGGTGTGCTCACTGAAGACTAATAAATAGCAGGCCATGTTCTTATCCAAGTCTTTTGGCTCCAAAACTCCCAGCTCCCGCCTTTCAGCACTCCCTGCTGCGTCCTGGGCTAAGTGACCACAGATGTTACCTGACAGATGATGAGTGGTACAGGCAGGGCCACCATGGAAAGTTCAGGGCCAGGAGCTGGGGTCAAACTCCTACGGTTCCCTCCACCCACAGTGGCCGTTGTGACAGGAAGGGGGAGGGGTGGAGGCCGTGAGCTCTACAGATGTTGATAGAGCCTAGGTTGTGCTTTTTTTAATGGCTGAGGGAGGAGGAGGTACAGCCCCCTCCCTGGGTCACTGCCGTGGGTTGAGGTCTCTCCGGGACCCAAGAAAAGTTGTCCTCATCATTGAATCAGGCTTCCCAGAGGAGGTGGCCCTTGAAGGATGGGGCTGGGGCAGTATGGGGCCTGCAGGCTGTCCAGGCCCCACATACTTTCTACCTTCACACCCTCAGGCCCTCCCTGGAAGGGCAGGCTTGCACTGAGCTTTAAGTGGTTTCTGTGGTTTAGAGGGTGGGGAGGAAGGGAAAACAAGTCGGTGACTGCTCCCCAGTTCCAAGCCACCACCACCACCCTCTACCCCCTCCAGGCTGCTTGCCCCCTGCATTGAGATTCCCCAGTCTGATAAGGGAACTTGGGCACGTGGGGGGTGAAATGATTCTCTGATCCCTATCAGCCTCTTCCTTGCATAAGAATTGTAAGAATGAATTCGAGGAGGAAAAAAACCACTGCCCGGCTTTGAAAGGACTGATTCCTCCAGAAAAGGGGCTGTGATTGCAGCAGGAGGGAAGAAGATTAGGCATGAGGGTGGACTTCCCAAAAGGATGATCATGGTACCTTCTTGCCCTAGGGAGAAAGAACCCCAGGCATCCATGCTTAGCACAGGGAAGGGGTGGAGACCCAAGAATGTCCAGGAGGCATGCGACTTGCTTAGGCCTAGAGGCCAGGACCCTGTCTTCCAAACCCCCGGTCACTTCCTCCCCACCCTGCGCAGTGGCACGAGTGGCCGGGAGGGGCAGCCATACTCATGGTATCGGGGGTGGCCAGACCACCTGGCATGGTGCCCCCAACCGGGAGCTTAGAAAGGGCCCTGGGAGACCCAGAGTCACAGAGGAAGAGAGGCTGGAAGAGGAGAAAAGACGGGGAGGCACAGAAAACAGAACGATAGACAGGGAGGGGCGGGCAGGGAGAGACACAGAGAGAGGATCCTGAGTGGAAGCAAAGCCAATCATCGGGCTGGGAAGGGGAGAGCCATACAACAGGACCCCAATCCTCCCCCGCACCCCTGTCCCTCTGCCTCTGGCTGGCTCTACTTGTCTGCCAGAGGGCACTAGGTGGAGTGGTGCTTTGGAGAGCGTTGCCTCTTAATCCAAGCCTGCCTGAGGGGGAGAGCCCCAAAACAGACCGGCATCCTGTTCTGTGCAGAGAAGTGTGGGCCATAGATAGATAGACAGACAGATCTATGTGGGCCACACAGATGCATGGGCCATGCGTATACCAAAAGGATATGGGGGTAATCAGAGGCACAGATACATCACTGTCAGACCCTTGGCACAAGGAGGTCCCCAAAAGCGGCCACTCCACTCTTCCTCACTCCCTATCCCCTTGCCCACCATCCTAGGAGTTGGGAAGTCCTTCTCTACGCGTCTAACCTTTGTCCCTCGAGCTGCGGCCATTGGGAGGCCCTGGGAGTCACCCAGGAATGGAGGTGCTGATGGTAGCAGAGTGTGAAGCTCCAGGGTGGGGCGGGAGTGGAGGATGGCGAGATGGGAGGGCAGGAGAGGGAAGGGACAGCTGCCTGCCCTCTCCACGCCAGGTGCCACGTGCTGTGGCGCGGCTGCCTCCTGCTCTGCTGTTTACCAGCCGGGAGCGAGCAGGAGGAGGTGCCAGGGAGCCGCCCCACTGCATCTTGGCCCCTGGCCAGCCAGCCTGTTGGGTAACCAGGAGAGCCAGGCCCAGCTAATCGAACTCTGGACCGAGGCTGTGCAGGACAGAAGTGGCATCCAGGACCTGCACCAGCCTCATTCTGTCCCGAAGCCTTCTGCAGAGCCCTTCCTCCGTGCGGGCCCCAGTGTGCGCCCACCGAGTCTGGGGGCTCTACTTCCTCCAACTAGTGCAGTGCAGCGTCTCTCCTGGCCTCTCCCCTCCCATTGCTCCTCTGCCCCCACACACCCCTCCAGCCCTGCAACACGGCCCCTGACAGACGAGGAAAATGTGGAGGCATCAGCAAGCCACGGAATTCTAGGGAAAGGCAGCAAGGTGCCGGGGCTAAGCGGGCAGAGGCCTCAGGAACTGAGGAACCATGGGATGAGTCTGACCTCCTCCTGGAGGAGCGGCACCCCCCCCCACTCCCCCCCAGAGAAGCCCTGTTCTTGTCACCTCTCTTGGTCAGGTAGAAAACACACCATCCTGAAGTCACAAAGACCTGGGTTCAAATCATGGGGCAGCCACTTATTGTCCTCAGGCAAGTCAGTAATATCTTTGAGCATCATGTAGCTTATGGGTAAATCTGGAATAATGGTGGCTGTTGTGAGGATCGAGGAAAATCATGGATTTACACAAAGTGCCTGGCAAACGCTGGTCCCCTTCCCTTCACTTGTTCCTCCTTAAGGCTCCAGACCCTGTTCCTCTGGTCTCTCGCCCTGTCCCCTCCTGCTGCCAGGCC